CAGTAACTAGTGTCCTTAAGTTTCAAGGCTTGTCTTTTAAACTGAGTGCTCTTGCCAAGCTTCACATTCAATCGGACTCTAAGAAGTGTTTTTGAGGCCAGGGCCTCATTAAGACTCCAGAGTTTTGGCCCCACGCCAACAGACCATTTCAAGTTGCGACCAGCTCCGGCCGCAAAATTTTGCTTCGACTTGTAACTGGAAAAAGGCAAGGGAAAAAAGCGGGGAATTCAAATTTGCTAACTGTTGGTAGGCGAAGAGGCTGATTCTTTTAGCACTTTCGCCCCAACGGTTAGAATGTGTGCGTTGGAGGAGGCTTCAGACTGCCTGGAGCTGCTTTCTGCTCCTGAGTAAGTGCATTTACAGTGGTGCCCCACATGACGATGATAATCCGTTCCATAGAAATCGGTGTTTAGCGAAATCATTGACATGTGAAAACCATTTCCCCATTGGAATGCATTGAAACCCGTTTAATGCGTTCCAATGGGGAAAATACCTCGTCGTTTTGCGAAGATCGCCCATAGGGAAGCCATTTTGCGAAGCGCCGATCAGCTGTAAAAATGGCTGTCCTGTGAAGCATGGGTCCCAAAAACATAGGGCAGCCATTTTGCAAAGCCGACGATCAGCTGTAGAAATTGTTGTCTTGCAAATAAACGGTCCGCGAAGCACGGACCAAATCATCGTCAAGTGAAAATTGCCCATTGGAATGACTGTTTTGTGAATCCTATAGCGATCGCAAAAAGTCATCGTTTTGCGGATTCATCGTTTAGCAGGGTCGTCTAGCGAGGTACCACTGTACTATGTTTTGCAGGGTGGGTTTGGCTGTGGGTTTATGTTTCTGTGCTGTGATTTTTTGGTTTTGGTAAAAAAAAAATCAGCCCTGACACATTCCTATGGGGCTTGCGATGTTTTAGTTTTATTTTTTAGCGTTTTTTTCTTCTGGAATAGATTAATCACATTCCAATGTGTTCCTATGGGAAATGGTGCTTCAACTTAACAACCATTTCGAGTTACGCCCATCTTCTGGAACGGATTATTGTCGTAAATCAAGGCGCCACTGTACTAAAATATTGTGCCCACTGGTGCTATTAAAATCAAACCTTTAAACGTGTGCAATAATACAAACAGTTGAAAATAACTGACTTGCATAAAAACAATAACAGTTGAAAAGCATTCCAACTACTCTTGAAAACTAATTTCAATTAAAAGGTGTGACGCAATTTAAAATGCTTTAACTAAATACATGTTATCCAGAGAAAATCTTATATCAAAACAAGCCAGATATGTTTTGATGTGTAGTTTTCTTCAGTGGCCACTAAGCCCCATCAAGTACTAAATCGTTAGGAAGGATCGGCACATTAAAACCCTCTAGTTTTTAAAGGCCCAGAAGGTAAAGACCAGAGTAAAACTGTAATGCTAACAGCTTCATTACTATACCCTCTATCAGGCACCAGGATTATTTTAGCCACTGTGGTGTTTAATTATTTGTTGTTTCCATATAGTAAACCCCAAAGCAGGATATGAGCCAAACAAGCTACTTCCAGAAAAAGACCAACTTAAAGTGGTTATTATAATTCAAGGCTCCAGTCCTACTAACTGAGCTAGCCATGCTCTGTCAGCCTGATCCTACCTCTTAGGGTTGTAGGGAGGAGAAACTGAGGAGGAGAATTAATAGTCACATACAGGAATGGGATTTTCAGATTTTTGGGGACTGCAAGTCTCATAATTCTCTGTTTTGGGAGTTCTCCCTGATGGACACTTCAATGTGGTTCACCTGGGAGAAAGGCCTATGCTAGCTAGGCCTAGCTCTGATCAGGCTTTCGACGCCTGCTTCCGTGCCAACTAAATGGAATCTTGGTTTCTGAAGAGGCCTAACTTGGAAGCCAAGCCTAACTTCGCTTCAAAGTCTTCCAGTTTTAGCCTTTCTCACAGGTGAACCGCTTTTAGGTGTCTACCTGTCAGGGAGGACTCCCGGAATGGAGAATTACGGAATCTGTAGTCAAAATTAAAAATCTAAAAATCTCACACCTAAAAATCTCTTCCTCTGGAAAGCTCCAGAGGAAAGGTGGGAGACAAATGGAATGAATATATAAATAGAAATAAGTTAGTCTATAATCCCCAAAGCCCTTTTACACCTTGAAAATACCTTCAGAGAAATGTTGAGCACATTCTACTCAAGGGTACTGAACAGTCAACCTCTGCTGGAAGCTGGAAGGGGTTTCTCCCCAGGGACGTCCACATCTGGCCGTAGTTTACTGAGCAAGGTATTTCTCTTTTCCCACACTAGCCAAGAATTCCAGTCCTCTGGAGAACCACCATTTTGGGTTGGTGAATCACGGCTGACCACCAGCAACGCAGACTGGCCTGTCTGTGTGGCAAGAAGACTGCCCTAGCATCACCTCGGCTGCCGTTTTGCTCACCTGTAAAAATTCTTTCTATGAGCAAGGCTATGCATGACTTTGCTGGTCTTCAGTTCCACGTAACAGCTCGGTGGATCTGGCCACGGGCTCCGCGGATCCGTGCAGTCCACCTCTCCTGAGAAGAGAAGAGAGTGGGTTCCCAGGCGGGTCCGAATCACTGTGCAGAATGCCTCGTTCGTGTTTACCACCCCGGATGGATCAGGAGTCCCATCTGGTGTATCTGGAGCAGGAAAAAAAAGGTTGAAAAAAAATGCTAGAAGCATAATTACTACCCATAGTTCTGGAGAGCTTACAGTCCACAAAAACAATTTTTCCAAGCTGGATGCTTAATATTACAGAAAGGAAGTCATCGTTATAAAATGTCTTAATTCTTCTAGAAGGCTATGTAACCAAAGAGTCTAGAAGTGGGACTGCAGCCTTTAAACCAATGAATAGGTTAGATTAACCATTTGATTTTTAAGAGTGGGCCTGTGCCCATGGAAGGGATGATGATGATGATGATTAAAAGATAAAGATTCCCTTTGACATTTAGTCCAGTCGTGTCTGACTGTAGGGCACAGTGCTCATCCCCGTTTCCAAGCCACAGAGCCAGCGTTTGTCCGAAAACAGTTTCCATGGTCATGTGGCCAGCATGACTAGACACGGAACGGCGTTTACCTTCCCACCGTGGTGGTACCTATTTATCTACTCGCATTTTTACATGCTTTCAATCTGCTAGGTTGGCAGGAGCTGGGACAAGCGACGGGAGCTCCCTCCGTTGTGTGAATTCGATCTTACGACGGCTGGTCTTCTCACCTTGCAGCACAGGGGCTTCTGCGGTTTAACCCGCAGCGCCACCACGTCTCTTCATGATGATGGCGATTAATTATTATTAATTATTCAAAAACACCAGGCACAGCCAAAATTATAAAAACACAGACTGGTATTATATAACAAGATAAAAGTTTTAACCAAAACCCTAAGCATCTGTTGGACTAAGGGTATTCTGCCTATGGCTGACAGTAGCCAATGTTGTTACTATGATCGTAGCGGTGGTACTTATTTTCCTCCCATCAGATCTTGCAAAGCCAGAGACCCGATCCAGAAGGGGAGCTTTCAGATACCTAGCCCCATGCTGAGGAATGACACAACGTGCCATTGAGCAATGTGAGGAGAGCTCTGTGTTGCCCACCCTTGGAAGACCAACGCTGCCCCTGAAAACAGAGGCTCGGGCCTCAGCAGGGCTCGGTAGCAGGTCCCTTCCGGCTCTCCAGGGCACTTACCGGCACACATGTACTGCTCAAACTTGTAGCCCATGTAGGCCAGCTCCTTCAGCAGTTCTGAACGGTGCTCCCGCTCCTCCCGAGCGGCCTCGGTCTCCACCTCGCTGATGTACAGAGTCCCACGGAAGAGGCTGACCGCCAGCAGCCACCCATCCCGAGTTTCGTAGGGCGTGGTCAAGACTTTGGTGAGATGCCCTCGCCACGTCACAAAGTCAGCGTTCAGGGGCCGCCTGCAGAGCAGAGAAAGACCGTTCCTGAGCGCAGCGGGACAACACAAAGGGCTAGTGGCCAAGGGAAGGCAGCCTTGGTGGTCTGCAGAAACACCAAAGTCCATCTACAATGGAAGCAGGGGTGGGAGCAACATCTCCTCCTGCAGCCTGCATGGCCTTTTGTGAACTGAACACCAGTAGGTGCAGCCATGCCCACGGACCTTCTCTAGTGTTCAGATGATGGATTGGGTGGCTTCTAGCTTAGCCTCTCCTCAAGGCATGAAAAACTAGAGTCATTTGCATCTCCCTATTGCTAGGATGTTCATTTTACAAACATCTGGAATGTTCATGATGACCTGTGTTCATATGGCCAGTGTCACCATGGATGAACAGGGGACTGGAAATCAAGCCCTGGGAGGAAGGAGTGAAAGAACTGGGCAGGATTAGCCTTGAGAAAAGAAGACTAAGGGGAAGATCTAATAGCCCTTTTCGAAGACTTGAAAGGGAGTCATCCAGAGGAGGGGCAGGAACTGTTCTTGATCATCCCACAGGGCAGGACATATAATAATAATGGGCTCAAGATTCAGGAAGCCAGATTTAGGCTGAATAACAGGAAAAACTTATTCACTCTTCGAGCAATATGACAATGGAACCAAACACCTTGGGAAGTGGTGAACGCTCCAACACTAGAGGCATTCAAGAGAAAACTGGACAACCCTCTGTCAAATCTGCTTTGATTTGGATTCCTGCCTTGAGGAGGGGGTTTGACTCAATGGCCTTATAGGCCTCTTCCAACTTCACTATTCTACGATTCTACTCAGAAATGACGGTTGAAATCCTTTGTTCCATACTTACCAGTTAAAAAGCAGAGGTTAAAGACTCACCCAAAGCACAGAGAACTCCATATTATCCTGAACCCAATTTCCTAGTAAAACACATCCGCCCGGCCCACTTTCCTCTCCCCTGGTTCCTCACCCTTTGTCATCGGTCTGTAACTCCTTCTGGTTTTGAGCCACCCACTTCAGCAAGTGATCCAGACCTTCCCGGACGTCCTCGTCCCGCTTCACGTAGCGGTCAGGGTAGCCGTCCCGCAGATCAAACCCAGGAGTCGGGCCCTCCATGGGGGGCGGGGCGTAGTAGCGCAGCTGGCGAGCGTCTCCGTGGTAACAGCGCTGGGCGTCGAGAGAAAAGCGTCCAATTTCCGCTGGCCGGCGGTAAAAGGGGAACGGGGCATCGTAACGCGAAGCGGTGACAGGGAAAGTAAGGGAAGCCTTCGGGTCGCTCTTCTGGCGCTTTATGTGGTAATCTTGAGGATCCTGGCTGCCCTCTCGCTCTCGAGTCCCAGGGTGGACAGTGGGCTTCATTGGCAACTGTGGGTGGGATAAGGGGCAGTGAGAGCATGAAACTCAAGCTTGCGAACATCCTGCTGGGACATGGCTACCACCCTCGGTAAAACAAGCCAGCCTCCACTCTATGGCTGCATCCCCCACGTTTTGGGCTGTGGCCCCCCATCAGCCCCAGGCAACGTGGCCAATAAGCATAGCTCAATGGTTTAGGTTGAGAGTTCAATTCCCCACTGTGCCTCCTGCATGGTAGAGCCAGCCTGTGTGGCCTTGGGCCAGCTGCACAGCATCAGGACACCCTTAGAAATATTATTCTCTACCTGGAAAACCCTGAAAAGTGTGGTCATAAGCCGGAACTGACTTTTTAGCACATGAATATACACAGTAGCACCTCGACTTACGAACGTCTCCACTTGCGAACAATTCGAGTTACGAATGGCCCTGTTCACAAAAAGTTGCTTCGACCTGCGAACGGACCCTCAACTTACGAACGAAAAAAAGGAGAAAAAAACCTTTCCTGCCCTTTTTTGACCTGAGTTCACCTTAAGTTTTTTTAAAATACCAATTTTTTAAAAAATTCAGCAAAAACCTGCGTATTACCAATTTATGAGAGAGTGTACTTACACTCTCAGGAATACAGTGGTGTCTCGCAAGATGAAAGTAATTCGTTCCGCGAGTAGCGCTGTCTTGCGAAATTTTCATCTTGTGAAAAGTGGTTTCCCATAGGAATGTGTTGCACTGAATTCCTATGGGAACCTCGCAAGACGAAAATAATTCATTCATCTTGCGAGGCATCGGTCTTGCAAAACAACATTCATCTTGCGAAGCACAGCCATAGAAGAAGCCGTCTTGCGAGGCACCACAGCGATCACAAAAACCATTCATCTTGCGGGTTTTTTGGTCCCGCGAGGCATTCGTTTTGCGAGGCACCACTGTATCAGAAAAAAACTTCGTAACTGTTAGAGCAGTAGGAAAATAGAATCAATGACCTTGGGAGGTGGTGAGCACTCCAATGCTGGAGGCTTTCAAGAGAGAATTGGAGAACCCTCTGTCAGATCTGCTTTGATTCGGAATCCTGCACTGAGCAGGGGGTTGTACTTGAAAGTCTTACAGGCCCCTTCCAGCTCCATTCTTCTATGATTCTATTTAATAGCCCACATATCCATTTTTAGTAACAAGAAATGTATTTAGGGTCATTTCTGATTTTGTTCCTTTCCTCCTTCAGCATTTTTGCCCCCCTGTGCAGCCCATGAGGGTTAGGGTGACTCCCAGTCCCACTAAAACTTCCCACTTCTAATAGATGTCAAAGAAACTGAGATTCTAAGACAGGTTAACAAATATTCAAAATCAAAAACAACAGACATAGTGAGGCTCTCAAAAGGCCATTTAACGCCATCCCACCGTCAACACAGGAGACGGCTGCCATAGGAAAGCCAGGCTCGTAAGAAAAGAACTCTTTAAGGCTGGGCTTGATTGGGGAAGTTTCCTTGGAGGAGAAAATCAGCGGGTCTCCTTCCTTACACAGCTCACAGAAGGCGGGGCAAAAGGTGTGTTGCTCCAGCTGAACTCTGGTTCCAAAAAAACTGGTGTGTGACAGTGTGTGCGTGCATGTACGTGTGTACACACACCATGCACACATTTTTCTTATACATTTTGCTTTGGAAGGGAGGGTTCTGATGGGCAGAAAAACACTTGATCAATTAATTAATGAATATTAATAATACCTAGGCAATCCCTATGTATAATTGCCTACATTTACTGATTTGCACGCAAATCCATAAATGTAGGCAATTAAACCTAGGGACCCATTTGTTCCACCAGCGACTCCCGTATTTTGCCTCTCCCACCCCTTACACCAATCTTGTAAGGCTTGGGGAGGGGTCAATTTTGTGTGAACCCCCCCCTTTCGCGGATAACAACGTAAAAGAGGAAAGAGTTCACACTGGAGGAGGGCGTATCATTCGGGCTGGGGCTGGGCACACAATACACACACACACACACACACAATACACACACACACCCAATACAAGGGCCACACGCTTATAGGGACCGAGCGATGCCTTCTTTCCCCCCCCTCCCCACCACAGGTACCTGCTCTGACGTCATCGCAGCACACCCAGAATCCACGCAATGAGGGGGGGCGGCGGAATCAGGTCAGCGCAGCGACAGGAAGCCACGCCCCCTTCTACCTCTCTCTCTTTCTACCCCTCGCTCGCTCTCGCACACACACAATGCACGACCCAGGCGTCGGCCCAACCCCGCGACCGCCACAGCGCGGGTTTTTTCCCTCCCCCGCGGCGCGTTGATAACGTCATCACAGGGCGGCGGCCGAGGAGCGAGGCCGGCGGACCTTCCCTTTTTTTTGCCCGTTTTCGCCAGGAGGGTCCTGCAATTCCAAGCCTGGCCAGCAGATGGCAATCACAGCTCGCCTTTGTCCTCTTCCTGAAGCGGCGGCGCAGCTGTACAGGCGAATTAAGGCTTTCAACCGCCTGTAGTAATGGGAGGAAGAGGAGAGTGGCCTACCTTACAAGGGTGCTTGTTATATCAAATAATAGGCAGAATGCGCCAAATAGTACGTGCCATGTGTTCTTGAATTGCGGTGCCGGAGGAGACACTTGAGAGTCCCTTGGACTGCAAGGAGCACAAACCTTTCCATTTTGAAGGAAATCAACTTTGAGTGCTCACTGGAAGGACAGATCCTGAAGCTGAGGCTCCAATATTTTGGCCGTCTCATGAGAAGAGAAGACTCTCTGGAAAAGACCCTGATGTTGGGAAAGTGTGACGGCAAGAGGAGAAGGGGACGACAGAGGATAAGATGGTTGGACAGTGTCTGCGAAGCTACCAACATGAATTTGACCCAACTCCGGGAGGCAATGGAAGACAAGAGCGTCTGGCGTGCTCTGGTCCATGGGGTCATGAAGAGTCGGACATGACTTAACGACTAAACAAGTACAATGTGTTCTTGTTATTATCACAACTGTTTTTCTATTCGCCAACTACGTGAAAAGTGAAAGGGAGGGCTTCCTTCATCTTTAGCCATTGCATAGAAAAAAGTTTCAGCAGGTACAGCTTGTCATGCAAGCTTTGTTGTCATGCTGTGATGTGCCATCAAGTTACTTTGGGTGCCTCTGTGAGTCCGTGACTTCCAGCAGGTCATGTTGTTAGCAACCCTGCATGGGTCTTTTACGGATTCAATCCATCTCACATTGGGTCTGTGACAAACCCAGACCTACTGGTGCCTCTGTGAGTCCGTGACTTCCAGCAGGTCATGTTGTTAGCAACCCTGCATGGGTCTTTTACTGATTCAATCCATCTCACATTGGGTCTTCCTCTTTTCCTGTTGCCTTTCGTTTCTACCACTGTTGCCTGCTCCAAGCAGTTTTGTTTTGCCTGAAAAGACAAGAGTCTGAGTCCAGTCATTTCAACGTCTAGTGCAAATTCAGGCTTGGTTTAATCTATTTGTTTTTTGACACTTAATTCAGCAGTCCATGCGTTTCCAACGCCACACTTCAAAAGACATACCCCCCTCCGTGTCAGCTTTCTTCCTTGCCAGTCTTCTGCTTGTTCTGTTGTTTTTTTATGATGTCATATCAATTTCTTATGTTGCATTTTATTATTATTTATAGTGTTTAATTATCTGTTGTACACCGCCCAGTCTGGCTGCAGGCTAGATGGCATGGTATAAAACGGTTTTTAAAAAATTACAATTTCAGAGGATGATTGTGGTGGTGTACACACCTCTTTGGGGTTGGGGATGTGAAAATGGTCTTGCAGGGCTGGGATGTATGCAGCTCATGGATTGCATGATTCCACTACACTCTTATAGACTTAAGCTGGCCTTCCAAAAAGGCCAATGGACATCAATGGTGACTGTGGTGTAGGGTAGATTGTTAAGGATGGCCCAGGAAGATCAAGCAGGTGAGTTGAGGTCAACCTTCTCTCTCTGAGGTTGACTGAGGTCAACCCCAATCCACCAGTGTTGCATCCGTCGCTGCTGATGCTGAGCTGAAACGCTGCACGGGGCTCATTAATCAGCGGAATGATGTGATGGGACAATTGATCAGGGGAAAAACAGGCACAGTCCAAAGCAATCTTTGTCCTCACTCCGAGAACATCCCAGTGGAGGGTCCCATCTGTGAGATATCTTAGTCATTCACCTTTAAGAGCCTCTTCAGCAACTGCCTTACCTTAATTCGTAGAAGGAACTGCCTCTGGGCAGCCTGCTGCTTCTTCCGCATGCCAAGGACTTAGTTAGGATGTTTTGTACCTGAAGAAGGCTTGACATACATACCTCAGTCTGCCTGCTTTGTTTTGTTTATCTAAGAACC